GAGGCGATCCGTCATCCTTCGAAACACGAGCGGGAAACCGTAAGCTATTCCGATGCGGTTGACTCTTCGAACCATACCGCCATCGACTCAGAAACCCCTGCCTGGAACCAAAGGAACCCTCCAGGTGATCACGCAGAAGGAACCAATCCACGAATTGGATCAAAGGGGAAAGGAACTCAAACTATCGAGCGACTCTGACAGTGAAGATGAAGCCAATCTTGTGATACAGGATATGGCTCAACAACTGATTCGTTACCCAATCCGAGAGAAGACCACGAAAACGTTTGTCCTTACAAAAAGAAATCTACAATGATCGGGCGCGTTAATCTTAGGGGAACCACTCGTACAAATATCCCGGATGCTCGACTCTTCGGAACCCCCTCGGACCCTATACGAGGCCACCGCCCCACTTCTCTCGAGATATAAAGATAAGGGAGCATTTTGTGACATCACAGGGTTACCTCGTTCCTTGCTATCTTCAGGAAATGAGGTGCGATTACTACATCAACGGGCCGAAAGTGAAGCCTTGGAACCCCCTAGGCGAGACGACTCTACACCCTACGAGCTCGGAATCAAAATCGTCGAGAAACCAGTGTGTTGGCAGGATATCGGCGATGGCGTGACCCCGGAAGAACACGTGGCCATCCGAGAGGAAGATGCTCAAATGGTCGTCACCGTGTTTTCTTGGCGGTCGGATAACTCCTTCATCTTTGCTCCCCCTATGGAGAGCAGCCTCAGACTCAGGCTCAGAGTGGGCACGAAGCACGTGACGGTTACCATACACGGACAACCATACGAGCTACATGTGTCGCAATATGTACCCTATGAAACTCATCGATTGCTTGCGGATATTCTGACTGAATATCAAGGGGCAATTAGCATAACAGATACGAATATCGGACTTTCCTTAGTCATTTARYACAAAATTCAGACTGGAACGCACCCGCCGATCCACTGCAAACYGTACCGGTATTTTCTCGCGGAACGAAAAGTAGCATTGCAATGAATCAGAGAATTCGAGGTTAACGGATGGATCGAACCAATGATCGGACCTTGGTCATTTCCCGTGGTCTTAGTCCCGAAGAAAAATRACGCGATTCGCATTTGCATTGATTACCGGAAGCTAAATGATATCACGCTCAAAGATGTGTACCCCCTTCCCCAGATTGATGATCTGTTAGATGTGATTGGATGTGGTAATTATTTCAGTAAGTTTGATATCCATCATGGATTTCGTCACATTCTGGTTAAGGAGGAGGATCGGTTGAAGACGACCTTTGTGTTATTCAAGGGCACCTGGTAGTGGGTTCGCTGCCCAATGGGAATTTGCAATGCACCAACTACTTTCCAAAGAGCAATGAACGTCACGTTTCAGAATTTYGTCAACAAGACCAGGCTGACTCAAGGCATGATTAATTTTTGCGTCATTGTGTACATGGASGACATCCTGGTCTACTCGRAATCATTCCACCGGCATGCGCAACATATCGAGTGGACGCTTGGGGCGTTGTAGGATGCTAACTTCAAGATTCCATTGGAGAAAAGTGAGTTTTTCTTTCGGAAATCTTATTCCTCGGGTACGTGGTGACCCATAGGGGGCTTAAGACCGGACTCGAGAAAAGTCACGGCCGTCCAAGACGCCCCCRCGCCTACATCACTGACGCAAGTTCCGACCTCTTCGCGACTGGCCTCGTACTGTCGTTCATTTATCAAGGGTTTCACGACAATCGCATGACCTCTAACGAACCTTTTGCGAAAGGACCAGCCACTGAGGTGGGACGCTGGGTGCGAGCAGACCTTTGTCACTCTAAAGGYGGCTTTAGCTACGACGCCTATTTTGACCTGGCCCGACCCGGAAAAGCAATTCATAATCGCCACGGACTGGCAGCCTTAGGCGATCTCCGCTATTTTGGCTCTAAAGGGGAAAGATGGCGGCAAACACGTCCTCGAGTACGCCGCAATAACGGTGCCCGACRAGAGAAGGAATGATTCGGCCCCTCAGGGAGAGTGCTACGCGGTTGTTTGGGGGATTCAACATTTCCATCCGTAGCTATACGGACAAAAGTTCCTCCTTGTCACGGACCATGAGCCCCTGTGTGCTCTCAAGAGGCTTACCAATTACACGGGCATGATTGGGCGTTGGGCTATGCGACTGCAAGAATACGATTTCGATATCGTCCATCGGAAGACAGAGAAGCACGGTAACGCTGATGGACRGACACGATTGCAACGGCCTMATAAGGTGGTCAAGGGTGAAGAGATTACACTGCCGRAGGAACCGGAACCAACCGACGAGCCCTCGTAYGGACTGGTGGCCATCCTCCCTTGGAYCTCTAAGAAGTGATCGGCARACACAATGGCGATGGGACATGGAGGTAATGCTGAAGGTCCMCTTTCTCCCCTTTCGTCTTCATCTTTTTCCTCCCTAACCGACAAATTTTGCTATTTTTGCGAACCAATCTCGAGAGTGTATTCGGTCCCTTGTGCCGCACTGATAAAATTCCGACGATTTCTACATTCAGTATAGAAATACGGTTTCTACATTCAATATAGTGGAGAAGGGTACGTCGAGTGGGTAGATTGTCAGCGGTGCGTGTTCCGTGCCCACGGTTTCAACATTCAGTATAGAAATACGGGCAAATCCTGAGTGTGTCCCTAATGCCGCACTGATAAAATTCCGACGGAAGCCTGATTTCTCGAAGGCACGTCTGAAGGGTTGGAAAAGACCCAACGGTTTAGAAGGGCCGAGGTATGGACAAATGTCTTCTTGATAGCTACGGTGGTTGGGAACTCCCTCCGAGGCTTTACGACGGAGGACCGGAGGAGGGTCAATGAGAGGGCGCGAGACTATTGATGGAATGAGGGACGGTTAGAAAAGTGAAAAATAKATGGTAATAGGATTTGGATGTCCGTGCCTCATCTGTTCATGAGGTATGACTGTGTTAAGTCGGCCCATGAGGAAACTGCGGCTTRCTTCGCCGTCCGGATCACGGAGGCGGTGATCAATAAAAATGAATGGTAATGGTCCAATATTCACGACAATGTTMAATTCATCACCCGAAACTGTGCCATTTGTGCCCCCGACAAGGCKTCGATTCAGCCGCCTAGATCGATAGTGCCTACCATAGTTGAACGGTCGTTCTGGAGAGTCAACATGGATACCACGGACATTGTTGTGCCCCCTGGACCGAATAACTGTGAATATTTTATTTTTYTAGTATTTCTATATCATTTTTCGAATGGATCGAGGCGTATCCTTGCAAGACGCGATAAGCAGCGGAAATCGCGCGATACGTCAACCGTTTTCTTGGAATCCATCAGGACACAGAGGRGATCTTAACAGACAATGGGGAAAAATTCTGAGGGGAAGTCTTGAAGAATCTGGTCCTACACGGTGTCTCAGTCCGCAATACTGCTTCCTATATGTCACAATCGAACAGACTGGTAGAAAACACCAACCGAGTAATTGAKACAACATTACATTGTAATATCGTGGCGAAAGATATAAGGCCTCGGCCTGATATCGTAGACCACATCCTAGCTATTCATCGACACCCCACGAGTCTACYGGCCTGACCCCCTTCCAACTGCGAACTAATAGTTTGCCATGTGTAGCCCTACCGAGGTTAAATGACGTAACGACCCTTCCACGACGGGCCACCAGAGCGACGGTTAAGGATAAAGCCCAACGCCCCCTGGAATTGATGGAAAGGGCCTTTCCTCGGTTAACCCAAAAAAAATAGTGAATGACTGCAATATCCCACGGATGACAAATCTGGAGCTACGAGGCCCGAAACGGGAACGTTGGGCCTCAACCCCAATATAAATTAGCGGACATAGTGCAAGTAAGGAAATGTGTTTGTCAAAGCAAGCTAGCGCCACGATTCTTCGGGCAATTTCGCGTCGTCGAGCCCGGTCCCAGAGGGGTGAACACGGTGCGACTCACGCCAGAGGTGTTGGGAATCCGATCGGGTCGCCCGATCATTCGAAACGAGTCCTATCTTCGTCCTCTTGCCTCTTCCTCTCCTYTGTCACCATCTGCGCCGTCCTTTGAYCTTGAAGAAGACGACGACGGTCCTGAACTGTCTCTTTCCTCTTCGCCTTCATCTCCCCCTTCATCGCCATCGCCATGAGTTTTTCCACAGATTATCAGTGAGCGTTTAATGAGACCTGGGGGGGCATATCGTATCAATATGACAAGTGCAGCGACCTCGACTGAGTCTGGATCAACTCCGATTTGCAACATTTTTTAGCACGACGTCCATCCATGTGGCGACAGAGTTTTGGTTTGCGCGAACCGGTGATCAAACACGGGTGTTGGCCGAATTGTCGGCCTTTTTTGGGTCTTCTCCACCGGAAGTCAGCCACGTGTCCGTAATTGTCACTTTCACCGGCGATCTTACGACACTTCACCCCTGGTCACATACATGTATCTTAAGGCAGTTACGAAGTTGGGCGGCGGACATCACGGTTGCGTGGGTAGAGTTACTGGCTCGGCCAGGGGAACAGATTATCACTGCCAACGACGTCGATTTCCAGCTTCGAACCTCGCCTACCGCGCCAAAGGTCCCTCTCCCGGAGCTTCTTCCCTTCGCTCAGCCTCAATGAACCGCCACCGCCTTTCCCTCTTCAATCTTCCGTCTGATCTTCCCACCTTCTAGCAATCTGCCATCGACGCCCCTCTATCCTTTCGAATCAGGGAGTTGAGCATGCCGATCTTGGACGACGCCAAGTGGACAGAGTGGTGGCACGCCTATACCACACTCAGCTTCTACCTCCTCGAAGTGGTGTTTCACAGGGCAGAGCCTGCTAATAAGGATGAAGAAGACGAGATCCCGGACGACGAGGTGGAGTTGTTGATCGCCCTGGCGTGGCAGACGGATACGGAAGGGGAACTGCTGGGGATAGTGTTTGGAAAGGTGAGGAGGGTCATCTGGGCGTCATCATAGGCAAGTTGCTTGTATTCCTGAAACAGCTGGTGGACGATCTGCCTCTTGCAGGTCACGCTGCAACGAGAGGTCGGGGACGGACACACTAACCCGGACGCTGGCGCCACACCTATTATGGTCCACATGTACGGACTTGGATGAGGATAACTGCGTCTATCCTTCCACGGGCCTCTATCTCATGATCAACATTACCGATCTCACCCTATGGGATCCGATCATCCAGAGGGTGGACTTATGCAGGCCGACGAACGTGGAAAGAGAAGAGGAGGAGAGAGAGGAATCGCGTGAAGAAGAAGACGATAGCGCGGAGGAGGAAAGATCTGACGACCCCGATTACCGCGACTCAGAGGAAGAAGGGTCGGAGGAAGCCGAGCCGGAGGAAGGTGGATCGGACGAATCACCTGGCCCTCCCAAGTTGAGCACGAAGGAGGACGAGATCACAAAGCGGAAGAGAAAGGAAAGGGCAGAGGGGAAGCGACCGATTGAAGAATCAAGAGGGTCGGTGACGCAAGACGATCCGGCGTGCAATCCGTAGCCGCCACAKGAGGAGTCGAAAGGAAATGGAGTCCCCACCACAGAGGGATCTAGACGTCGCCACCGTCAAAGAGACCAATCGCCGGCTCAATCTCCTTCATCTTCGCGGCCCGCCATTCACCTACRTGGAGATGTGGGCGCTCGGGCTTCGTCCCATGTCATTATCCCGCCGTCCCCGTGACTTCCTCACCGTTCAGCAACTCATAGGCCGACCCCCGTTCCCCGACAGCTGGCACCCGTTTCCGCCTTCCCTTTTCACCATCGCTATTCCATCGGACTCGTGGTCACCATACTCCCACACACCACGACCCACTCCCTTACTACTTCCTTTCCCCTCCTTGTTCTTCTCTTTAGTGTCATGTGGCATAAGTTTAACAATATAGAGCTTTATTGCATAATCTCGGGTGTAATCCCTGCCTGCGAGGATTACGAGGACTTCCGTGTCGCGATCCCCCGCAGCCTTTGCACCCTCTACCCCAATTATCTCGCCTTCCTCCCCCATGAAGGACCGCAATTCCCCCGCATCCACCGAACCATCCAACTACACGCGAATCCCGGATGATYGTGGGTTCCGTCGCTTCATGCCACCCCTCCCTCAAGTCCATCCTCTGCCACCTCCCCCTATGATAAGATTGCCCTTCCCCGACAACTTGTAAAAATTGAAGCCCACGACTGCCACGTTGGATGACTTCCACACTCTTTTCTTACGATAAGTGGAAGGTGCCGGCTTCGCATCGCGTCTTAGATCGGGCGATGAATGTTGAAAAAAGGAATTTAGGAGCTTGTTCCAGATTGGAACCCCATGGGCGTCACATATGTGACGAACTGTCTTCCGTAACCACGCGACTTTCTGCGCGAAGCTGCTTCGAGGTTTGGGACAGGTCGTTTGGGTGAATTGTGTGAGGATGGGTCGATGGAGCGAATTGCATGGATGCCCTCGCTTGTTTTTCTTCGGGTTTTTGGATCAGGGCCGGGGAAGTCCCACGCAGGTGGTTGAGTGGCCGCGCCTTGGTGGGCRTGAAAAATAACTGTTGCTATAGCTTCCTTCTTGTTCTGATGTGGGAACATAGAATTTTGGCGCGATCATCGCGCGAGAACRTCGTTTTCGAATTTTTGAACTGATGTCGATTTCCCACGGACTCTCGGAATTATTTTTCTTTCGGAATTTCTTTTTGTAAACTAGGATTTGGATACGAATTTAGGAACCATAGAAATTTYTGTTGCACCTCGCTACTYGCTTGCGCACGTCTCGCCACGCTGGGGACTGGGCTCTGACCGTATCGCGCCCTTAATCTTGTGTGTAACTCTAATTTGTGGCAGGCGCGATTGTAATTGTACTTCTTYTTCTTGATTCTCTCGTGTTTTCCCGCCTTCTCCATTCCTGTCGCTCATACCTCGTCCTCCATTCTAATTCGCCTAAGCGACCACATGACCGAATCGATGCGTGGAGTGTGGCTACGTCCCCCACGTTGGGGCCTGGCCATGCAGACGTAGGCACTTCCTTCTCTTCCCCTTCCTTCCACTCAGGCATAATCCCGGGTTTTTCGTGCAGACATGCGCGCTATAAATTTCGCAAGCACGATTAGTCTTCTCTCTTGTTGAAATTCGAGGTTAGCGGGATAAGGGAGGGTTGGCTAACGAGGAATCCAGAAAGGTGAATAGAGTAGGGAGTTGGGCGATCGGACGAGCTGGTGCCGAGTATGCGGGGTTGACGTGGGGCCACGACGAACTTTGGCGCACGGGCGAACTTGGCTTTCATGCCCGGACCAAGCGGGGTGACAATTTTGTATGGTGCGAGGCGACGGACTGCCTGCATCAGGGGTGGTGTAGGGAGAGAAAGAGAGAGAGCGGACGTGTTGAAATGGTGTCTTGTCTCCCCTCCTTCGTATAATTTTGACGATCAGCGGCAGCCATCTTTTCATTTTGGATTTTCGTTCTTTTTATGATTTGTTTCCCCAACTTTGCTTCTCTACCACTTTGTCGAATCGGGCACGTTCATCATTTGTATCGGATCTTTGTGCGCCTTTGGTTAAAATGATGTGTATGAATAACTGGACTGGCWGAAGTATTGTGATGCATGCGTGCTCGTCAATTCCTCATTCTTTTCCTACTTTTTGCAGTATAGACTAGGAAGTCGTGTGAATAACCCTGTGTCGAYCCTTTAACCTTTGAATCTCGATTCTCGACTGATGCGTGGATGTTGTGATCGATTGTCCATGGTTTGTGTTATCTCTGTCAGGTGTACACATATGTACGACGAATGTTGGGCGTTTCGACTGGGAATAAAATATATGTGCGTGTAGATGTGTGGATGTGTTAAGTAGATGGATCCATTCCCTTAGGCATACCCTACTGAACATCTTCAGTTAACCCAATATACAAGTCTTGTGCACGCACGTATAAGCGCMMCYCGTAGGGCCGCCGCTTACATGCATGTCCGCAAAACCTGCTTGCGATCCGCTTTCCGAATGACTGAGGTTCTGCTGGTCCTGCAATATGAGTATTGAAACTCCTTTTCATGTTAATGATCGCGAGTGTATAAGAGATCGAGASTTCCGAGACTACTGGGAGCGCGCGCACTTCTACGCCCGTCCCAATGCCAAACTCTCGGAATCCCCCTATCAAACAGGGCGCGAGCGCGTCTGTGTGTGGGACATCGGGCGGACATTAAACGACATTCCCTACCCTTTTCACCGTTTCGGCCAGCCCACATGTCAGATTCTCACGGAACCCGGCATCGTCATCATCGAAACGGAATATCCTCCCTATCACCTCACGCCACCATTCCATAGCCTAACAATTGCCCCCTAGCGTGCGATTGCTCCTTTACGTTACTGGTGTGACTCACCTTGCTCTGAGTGCCAGCAGGACCGTGCATACTGAGTCATAGGGTTCACCCTACGAAACCTCCTCGAAGCCGAGCGACGGATACTCAGTCTTCGACTGTGGCCCRCCACGCYGGATTCCGAAGCTTGCGACGTTCGTCGACGGTAGGTACTCAGTCAGTGCGACAACCACTGGGTCCAGTCGGTACACCAAATACGGGACCAACCCAGACGAGGAAACCAGCAGAGGTGGTAAACCTGATCCATAGAGCATTAAACCCTGGTGTGAGCCACACCTACCTTCTTGCAGTCCGATCACTGAAACCTGCCACAGGAGATCCCTGTTCTGACCTGGCACCCCACCCCCACTTTCCTAAAATCCTTGGCACACCCCTTTTTCGCACTTCCTGGCCCTTATTTCACTCTGATCAGGAAGTGGCACCGGGCGTGAGGTTGGGTGTCACATCCACATGTGGCAACTGACATTTTCAGACTTGGAGCGAGGGCAGGTCGAGAGTGTAGTGTGTGCCGAAAGGCACTCTCGAGCGGGTTTTCACTTCCAAGAGCACTCACAAAATTTTTCCCAAGCACCAAATGGGCTAGCTCAGGGCATACTCACACRGGRACCAAAAGTCTCAAAAAAKTGAGGCATTTGGTTCGTTTTTTTTTAGGCATTTGGTCCCCGTGTGGTCACACGGGTGGACTTGGTCTAGAAAGGACGAAGTCGCAACCCTGACAATTTGCACTCGGGAYAAGTGCGCCTGGTCACACGGGCGAGGGCAAAACAAAAAGATGAAATTTGTTTTTCTTTTTTTTTCACTTCATTACAACGCGTGGCCCTTCGCTACAACGTAAATGTTTCTGGTCGCACTTTCAATTGTTTGGCGGGTGGTCTTTTTCATCTACGATTTTCTTCAATTTGCAAAATAAAAAATAAAAAAAATGAAAGGTAATTTGAGACCACCTTTGGAGGTGGTCTCAAAAAGGGTCCTCCTGTGGCCCCGCAGGCCGCTGACAAAACGGTCACCGTTTGAGGCATTTGGGTAGTGGGCCTCTCCAGTGTGACCCAAAACTGACTTAAATTTTGGGATTTAGGGTCTTTCGGTCCTCGTGTGAGTATGCCCTCAGTTGGTACACCCCTTAACTGTTGAAAAGGGAACCGGAGTTCAAACTCTATTGGTCCATTGGAAGCACACGAATGAAATACTACCATATGACATTCGGAATCCACTCCGGCCGGTCAGTTCAATGATATGATTGGTGATTAGTAACATATAACTTGAATCCGTGTATCTAGGAGCCTGGTTTCACTAATCAACATTCCACTTGTATCTGTGCAGCATTCAGGCAGAATATGTTGAATTCATTTTTAAAAAAAAATCCCAAGTCGGAAGTGGTGTGGCGAGCCCCAACTTGAATGAGATAGATGAGTAGTGACAAGAAGATGAGATAGATGTGAGGCCCAATGAGATAGATGAGTACTGACAAGAAGATGAGATAGATGAGAGAAGAATATGGCTTACTTTTTGGGAAAAGTTTTGAGATCCCCCGAAAACATCGATTAAGTTGCCCCGTACCCCTCTGAAGGCCGACTTACCATGTCGTGCCTCGGTTGGGCGAGGCC